GCAAGGCCCTACCTTTTCCTGGCGGCCTGATGTCTGCCAATTAAAGAATTACCTCTTAATTCGCAGAGTGTGTATGCCATGCTTTGCACAGGACAACAGTGCTGCGCGAAAGGGTCTGGAAACAGTGCTGTATGTACAGTCCATGTTTTGGCAGGGTGGCAGCTTCTGTTCATGCATAAACAGATGCAAGGGCACGTTGTAAGGGTGATGCAGTGCTTGATGTGGTTTCTTTTCGTGAAGCAATCTGTTGACGACAGTTGTCCGCCGAGGCCAGCTGCGTTTCGCAGATCGAGTTTGCACGAGCGATGACGGAGGAGTTTGGAGAGGAGGCTGCTGCTGCAACCGGAGTTAGTGAATGGGCCCAATCAGGCCTCGGCAACTCTGAGCGCGATGTGCACAGAGTTATCAAGCGGCAGGGTTTGCGACTGGAGCTGGAATTCAGCGAGATGTGGCTAGGAGACCAACTTTCCATAGATTGGATACGCCCGATGACTTGGTTGAAATATATAGTCGAACACAACCTGTGGTTCCATTTGGCAGGTTTGACGTGCCCAAACCTGAAGCAGTGCCAGGCCACGTGGTCTGGATATTGGGAAAGGTTTTTTCAGCTCAACCCCGACTTCGACAAGCCTGCAGGTTTTGATGTTCAGAACACAGCTGCCCTGTACATACATGGGGATGAAGGTCGGACCCTCAAGAAGGCTGCTCTGATGATCATGGGATTTCAGTCATGCTTAGGCTATGGTTGCTCTGTAAACGGACGGACGCGCAAAAGGAAAGCCGATGGTGATATCGGTTTCCAAGTGAACTATGCAGGCCACTCCTACACGACGCGGTTTGTGACAAACATTATGTCGAAACAAGTTACAGAGTCGTCTTTCGATATGGCTGCCGAGGAGCTGGCTAAAGACTTGTCTCAGTGCTTGTCGACTGGTTACACATACGGTGGTGTGACCTATCGGTTTTGTGTGATTGCATGCAAAGGTGATTGGCCGTTTTTGCTTCGTGCAGGCCATCTTAACAGACACTTTTCGCGATCTATCAAGAAGCTTGGCAACGAAGCCCGAGGCAAAGGTGTTTGCCATTTGTGCATGGCTGGAACCGAAGGCTACCCAGCAGAAGAATGTGGCTACACCGACCCGAAGTGGCTGGAGACTGTGCCAGCGCCCCCGCCATGGCCCCGCACACCCCCACTACTCCGACATCTGGCATGCTCGAGAACCGACCCTGGTACTTTCTATCAGCCCGACCTCTGGCACACTGTTCACCTTGGCATTGGGAAGTCTTTCGCGGCATCCTGCATAACTATGCTGATTCTGACTTTGCCTGCTTACTGTTGTTTGACGATGGAGAAGAGATGGGAAACCGTCAGCGCGGACTATGTGTCCTGGTGCAAGGCGAACAAAAGACAGGCTTTTATAACCAAGATCGGCCCGAGCTTGGTTAACTACGGAGACAGCAGTGGTGCCGTTGGCGGATGGCACAAAGGTGCGCTGACTACAAACATGTTGCTTTGGTTGGATTGCATCTTGACTCAAAACACATGCTTGGGTGAGAGGAAGGTCATCGTAGCTGCGCGTGCTGTGCAATGCATCAACAACATGTTTCGTTTCTTGTATAGTGCTGGTGCTTTCCTGTCGCTGAACGAAGGGACCTATGTGAGCAAGCAAGGGCTTCTCTTTTTGAGATGCTACTGTGAGCTAGCTCAGATCTTTTATAGCGAAGGCAGGCCAGGCCTGTATCCATTAATCCCGAAACTGCATTCAATGGATCACCTCATGCTGCGAGTGTATTTTGACAGTCACAGATGTGGCTTTTCATGCAATCCATTGGCAACCGGATGCCAACAGGATGAGGACGTGGTGGGCAGAGTGGCACGTGTATCACGCCGGGTTTCTATGCGGACAGTAATTCGTAGAACCTTTGAACGTTATTTGGCAGGCAGCTTTGCTGTTTGGCTTGAGTCTGGCCTGCTGATAGCCAAGTGAGTAACACTATAATGGTGAGCATGCCTGGCTCACACAGCTAGAACATATTATTGCCAGGGTGTATCTACATGTGTTTACTCGTTTATGCTTATGTATGTACATACTTTACAGTCTGGTTTTGGAGGCACAGTCTATCATGTATGGTGTCATATATATATATATAAATACACACATACATACATATATATATATGTTGTATCTATATATATATAAACATAGATATATTCATATATGCACACGTACACATGTATGTGCATGCATGCATGCACATATCTGCAAGTGTCTCTAGTGCATGCATGTGCTAACAATATGCATACACATGCATGTGCATGCATGCAGGCAGGCTTACTACATAGACACATGCACACCACGCAGATACACATGTGCTTACCTACCTAGCCACCTACCTACCTACTAATCTCGTCCCTGCCTGCCAATGTATTTGTGCAGACATAGCTACATTCATATTCATGTAGAGGCATACCTATAACTACATGTATGCCTATATATATATATAGATAGGTATAGATCACAAGATTCATGTACCGGTACATGGCATAGAGCGCATGAGCATATACATTTATAGATACATATGCATGTACGTGTGTATACACACATGTATATACATGCAGATTATCATGCATGTCTACCCGGAGGCATATACATACATAAGTGTATATATGTATATGTATATAAACACACATGATGTATATGTATATGTACATGTAAATGTATATGTATATGTATATACACCAGCCTACCAGCCTACCTAACTATCCGCCACAGACACACACACAGACACATACCTACACATCTATATGTTGTCGTATATATATATATACATATTACACAAGTATCTCTTCATATATATATATATGTATGTATGTATATACATATATATATATATGTATAGGGACAGACAATTGTCACTGTGTGTATGTACATATATTTATATGAATGAAAGAAAGAATGAATGAATGTATGTAGGTATGTATGCGATTGTAGATAACTAGACAAAGAGAAACATGCATCTGCACATACATGCATACACAGACATGTATGTGTATACTACACATGCATACATGTAGTTCTACATAGGCACAAACATGCCAAAAAACAATAACGCTCGCTGGATGCATTGAGGCTCTAGTTGTTTCATTGTTTCATTGTGTCATTATTTGCTTCATGTATTCAAGAACTGATTCACCTCGTTCGCTTCAATCATTGTAGCTTGATATATAGTCCTTCCCACTTCAGTCCATGCCACTACAGTCGTATGCACTCAGTTAATATGCCCTCAGTGATCCAGGCAAGCAGTAGCTCATTCCTTCGTTCTGTCGTTCATCCTTGTGTTCCTTCTAAGTGTTTGAAATGCTGTGACTGTCTCACTTCCTTTCCTTCCTTGATTCATGCATTCGTTCATTGTCAATCCGTCCACCCTTGCATGCAGCGATTTGTTGACCGACTGTGTACCATCCTACCTACCCATCCACAGAGACACCTATCCACACATGTATTTGTCTTCGTATATAGATAGGCCTATGTGTGCACATACATCTATATATATATACATGTATATGCCCACATATATGTACATTGAATCATCAATAGGCATAAATATATATAGATATATATGCACACATTTGTCATATAGTGTGTATGTTTGTATATATATGTTTGTGTGTATGTATGTATGTATGTGTGTATGTGTGTATGTGTTTGTATGTATGTATGTACGTATGTATTTACGTATGTATGTATGTACGTATGTGTGTGTGTGTATGTATGTATGTATGCATGCCATGTATGTATGTATGCTGTATGTTGTATGTATGTCGTATGTATGCATGTATGTATGCATGTTGTAAGTAAGTGTGATGTATGTATCCATGCATGCATGCATGCATGCATGCATGCATGAATACATGCATGTATGTATGTCGTATGTTGTATGTATGTTGGATGTATGTGTGTTTGTATGTATGCATGTATGCATGCATGCATGCATGTATGTATGTATGTACGTATGTTGTATGTATGTTATATGTATGTTTGCTTGTATGTATGTATGTATGTATGTGTGCCTGTATGCATGTATGCATGTGTGTATGCACTAACCGACAAGGCACCCTCCACTTCATCAGTGTGTGTGTGTATGTGTGCCTGTGCACGTGTGTGCAAACATGACTGTGTACATGTAAACTTGTATGCACATGTAGATGATGTGTGTGTGTGTGAATGATTGTGTTTGTGTATATGTGGTTGTAGGTGTAGATGAATGCGTAAGTGTATGGGTGTGTTTGGCATCGATACCTCTAACAGCTCTAACACACACACGCACACACACACACACAGGCTTAGCAAGAACTGATGCGATGAACTCTGGACTGCCTAATGCAAAGACAGTGTCACTTGAAGTGCTCGGCCAATATTGGAAGCAGCACCTTTAAGGGTACTTTGGGCTGGCCGTGCTTGCAGGCACAGGTGGTTGATCAAACCATCCATCCCCTGTCTTGGAATAGCTTCGTTGGCACAGGTATCCAAGACAGACCTGTGCCCCCTGCTATTGAAACCGGAATGATCCGTTGCAGCAGAAAACAGAATGAATCACCAAGTCTAGGTGCTTTCACACACACACACACAAACTCAGACAACACACACGTGCCGCACGTGCCACATGAGAAAACTGCACTTGCATCCAAGCGACGACCCTCTGAGAGCCTGCGCGACACAACGAAACACACATAGAGAAGACAGGATAGTGGAATCTGGGGAAAATCACAGGGCTACCAGTAGCACGCTCGAATCACGGCTACAAGCGGGTTGTGACTCTGCCTCGTCGGCGGCGGCAGGCAGTGCTGCCAATAAAGCAGCCGCTACCCAAAGCTGGCGCATCACCTGAAGCGACGATTGGGAGGAGCCTAGAACTCCTAGGCTAATGGCTACAGATAGCTTAAAATGGCACTGCTTAGAAAGTGCTGGACACGAATTTTGCAGCACTGGGCGGTCAGGTCAAGGGCTCACAGCAACTTCGACAACTTCGGTCTCGTCAGGCCCGTCTTCAGTTTCTCCTACGTAAGGTCTGTGCAGCGGGAATTGTGCACGGACTTCATCTGTCAGTGATGAAATCGCTTGCAAGGCCTCCTGGTAGTTGCTCAAGTCGTCGACAACCATACTAGGTACACTCGGGGTTGAAATAGAAGTAGACCAGTTGACCTGCTTTTCGCTCATGTGGCTGTACACGCTCGTGTCCTTCTGCTTCATCGCATTGATGTCACGGACGGCATTGGTACATAAATGGTGCATCTGAACATTCCATTGCTTGTCCAGAAAGTCTTGTTCTCTAATGGCATCCTGTCGCGATACGTAGTACTTGTGTTGACGTTCGCGGTCTTCATCACGCACCCGCTTCTGCTCCTGTAGAAGCAAATGCCTAGCACGCAAATGACCTGCGTGCTTTACCCACCTGTCCTTGCGGCTGTCGACCGTCTTTTTCGTTTGGACAGTTCGATCCCTGCGGTGCTTCTCTCTGTCCACTTTGGAGCACGCACGTTCTAAGGCGCCCTGGGAGAGAATGAAATCGAAGTGGGACTCATACTTGGCGCGTCGCGCGCTGCTCTGAGCACGCTGCTGGCGTGCGGCCTCCCTTCGGCGTTGCTGCTCCAGCTGGGCCTTGATCCTCTCCTCTTGTAGGCGGTCCACTACAAGTACAGTGCGAGATGCATCGAACACCCGGCGCCGTTCGCGCCTGTGGAGCTCGTGAATGATGGCAAACTCACGTCTGCGATGCTGCATTTCGAAGTGTTCTCTTCGGACGTGCTCTTGCTGGGCCAGTTCGGTTTCTTGCCGACGGGCTTGCTGAATGGCAGCATACTCCACATCTCGGAGTTCTTCTGCCTGGCGGTAGTAGTTCGCCAACATCTCCTCGAAGACTTTGCCCATGGAAACAGGAGAGTCCGTCCAGCCGGAGTCGGCAGAGCCCGGCTTGGGAGTCTCTGGCGAAATTGCTGAGGCCCAGTCAGAGGTGCTGGCCGACAGGGGGCTTGGAGCTTGGGGCATCGGCGAGTTCGTGCGTGTGCTCTGCATCGAGACGGGGCGCAAGCGCAAACGTGAAGGCAGGGCACGGCCACGGGACTTTCGAGCTTGACCGACCATTGCCTGATTTGCACGCAAGGACTCTTGGCGAGCCTTGGCAATCAACTCCTCAGCGGCTCGTCGCTCGCTCAAGGCTATCGCTGCGACACCGGCAGAGTCAACCCTTCTCGATTCCGTAATTGGAGGTATGGCACCCGAAAGCTGAAGGTCCAAACAAATGCCGCCAGCCTTCAAAGCATCTTCCTGCATGAAATCTGTTGGACTAACCTCTGACAGTGCCCGTGTGAACTTCTCGAACTGTTCCTTCTTGCGCTGCTCCAGCCGTTGCCGAAGATCCGTGCTGCCTGCTCTCATTGCTGCTGCCAGCGCCAAGTATCCTATCTACGACCTACGGCATCTACGCATCTCCCGCAGTCCTTCACAGTCTTTATGAAGGCTTGGGCCAATGCCTACACGAAAAAGCTCAACAAAGCTCCCCAGAGCAAATGCGCAAGGCGCAGCAGCCACAAGACATAGTGGCTACAAAACATAGCATCGCTTCCGGAAGCCCAACCACAATGCACCTGTGACCGACAAGTCTTCCCTTCCACCCGCTACATTTCTTTGCACTTTCACTTGAGCCTGGCCTGCGGGATCCAAATGTTTCAGTTGGGAACTAGATATATGCCACAGGAGAGGCAACGGTTGCTTGGCTGCCTCCACCCTGCAGAGGACCACCTCAGCCATAGCTGCTCCCACAAACTTGACTAGAACTGCACCACAAGCTCAGTAAGGGCTGGGCATGCCGTGAAGCCTCGTGAGTGCACTGGGTCACACTGAAGCCGACGGCAAGCAAAAGCGTGTGAGCAAAAGCGAGCGCCGTGCAAGCAAGTCGCTATCGCTGCACGGGCAAGATCCTGCGTGAACCAGGCCCATAGGGACCTGGGCAGCAAGCTCTCATACACAGGTCCAACTCCCTTTCGTCGGGCCACTTCTCTTCGACCCCTGAACAAAACTGAGACTTCTGCATGAGCCCTCTGGAGTGCAAGTTGCCAGAGCACTCGACGGGCTGCTGCAACCAGTGTTCCAGACAAGTGCCCTTGCCTTCTCGCATCCCGACAGGCTGCGAGTCAGGCACTGAAACATACAAACAGCACCTTGCAGCAGTACACAAAGGCGTGCCTGCAGCGAACTCCAACTTTCCCGCCTCGGCTTCTCTCGCCTCAGCAAAACATACGAGCATGTGGCAACACAAGGAGAAAGAAGACACCATCTCGAGACGAGCTTGCTCGCTGAGGCCGGCTCTAAAGATGCACCGGGGAAACCGCTGAGGCGCGCCCTGGCAACCCAGGCACGTGGCTCCTGCACCAGCAGCAAGACCTCACCACCCGGAACAAAGTGCCAGGTTGGGTGCAAAGCAGCACTCAGCGACTTCCGAGGCCGCCGCAAGTCGGTGCCGATCCTTCTGGCGAGACTTCGTCAGAGGAAGGCAATGGAAGGCACAAACACCGGACATTGGCTTCCTCCACTGTCCGCTTCTCCAGCAAGGCTGCAAGCTCCAGGCTTGAGACTGAGGCCTGAGCTGCTTGTGGCGGAAAAGCTTGCAGCAACATGCAGCTGCATGCTTGGGCTGAGACGACGTCGACGGAAAAGTTCTCACGAATCCATCGCTGAGCCACCCTGACAGACGATCGCTTGCCATCGCTCTGGCAAGGCATCTTTACCATACACAAGCTTCACGGGGTGCCTGTCCATGCACGGCCTGTCGGGTTCAAAACCAGTTGCTGGGCGAAGTCAAGCTAAGCTCGTAACACGACCAGCCTGACAGCCATGCCGAAACCCGCCAAAGCATCACAAACGAAGATGCCTGCACCCGCAGTACAAAGCTGTCGACCAAACCCACCGACCGCCCACGCAAAGGTAGCCTGTAAACTTGCCACGGACACGAGCATCCAGCAGCAAGCGTGAGCCCACGTCCTCCTTGCCAAGCCCCCCCCTGCGCCCGTCTATCCCACTGCGGACCATCGCGCAGCCTGGCTCTGCTCGCAAATGATTTGTGGGATCTGTGTGGAATGCTTCACAAGCTCGCGGCGATGTCCTCCAAGCCTGCTGTGGCCGGAAGCTGTAGCCGAGCCAGTTGATTCAGCCACGGATTCTGAGACGAACTCCTGCGGGCTTGTTTCTCAAAGTCGGCCCCGAGGTGTGCCACCGCTCAGGAAGGCCTCTGAAACCAGCTCTTCCAGCTCCACGTTGCCTGGCCGTCTCCCATGCCGGTGAACCTGGGCTCCAACGGAACTCTCAAGGGTGAACTTTTTCTATCCTCCCAGCTCCAAGCGGGATGAAGTGCACCCCGCCGTCTTCGGAGTTGCAAGAGATCCAGCCTGCCGGGTGGTTTCACCCACCGCTCTACAGCGACTCTACACTCGGACTGGGACTGGGCCTTGCTCAGACTCCGAGCGGCTGGCCTTCAGGAAACACCAAGAGTGCTGAGGCGTGCTGAACCGTGCAAAGGGCCTCCGCTGCCTCCAACTTCCGACCTGGAGCGAGACCCGAAGAGAGCGAGGCCCGGAGAGCGCTGCAACAGAGCCCCGGGGCCCCCAGCATCTCAGGAAGCTATGTGCCGAGAGGTCCGAGAGCGTAACCTCGCTTTATGCCACATTCTGCTAAAGTGTCGCACGTCGCCTCCGAAGATCTCAGCTGCAGCCATGTGGCCGGCCGCTTCGGGAAGGGGGTGAAGGCCACCAGGTCCCCAGGCCCAATCACAGCCACGATCTCGCCTGCCGATTCTAGCGTTGATGCCGGTAGAATTGGGCATACTGAGTCGTTCGTGTTTGCCGGGCTCCCAAAGGTGAGCTCAATTATCGTCAGTTGCGCTGTCCTTCCGGCTTTTAGGTGCACATGCCCCCCCCCAACCACGTGAGCAATACTGGGCAATGCAATCAGCAGCACCGGTGTCGGGACTTTGCGCAGAAGAGGCTGCAGCGACATTGTGGCTTGCAGCCTGCTGATCTCCTGCGCTTTCACTCAGCACATCCGGGCCTTTCCCCCTCGGCGCGGTGCGGATGCTCAACGGAACCTGTGGTCTGCCCCACTTTCAGTGTCCACTCTCAAACTGCTGCGTGTTTGTGGCCTTGCAGACGCACTGCCATCGCTCAACTCCAGTGGCACCCATTCGCCTGCAGCCGACCAGGAAGCATCCAAGGACTGCACGGCAATTCACATTCCAAGTCCTCACTTTGTGGCAACTAAGTTACTACAACAACCTGGAGCTTTTTGGTTCCGCAGCCTGTGCGTCAGGCGACCAATGGAGGAAGGCAGTCCCGGCCGATCTGGCTATATCTATATCTGGCTACATGGTCATGCTGCCTCCTGGTCGCACTGCCCTTGTGAGATAGATGTTGCCGTAGACATCCGCCGTGATCAGCATGCCCGCATATCGTTTGATCCAGCAGGCTGGCAGCTCAAGGTCTTGATCAAGGTCCGAAGTGGCCTGCTTCGCAAAATCCGCCGGGTCTCCACTATGTCACTATGTATCTTCAGACTCGTCTGTGAGCCTGACACCACGTTGCAGCTCCTGCATCATAATCGGAACGAGATACAGATACGTAAATGCTCGTGAAGAGCACCGAAAGAACCGGAAATTCACGATCATGCCCCACCTCCAACAGAGAGGCAGCCTCGACGCCACTCTCCTCGTCCTTAAAGCAGCAACCATCGGCGTATCTGGCTACTTAGTGACATTGCAGCAACCCGGCCAAGAATCGAGGAGCATTGCTCTCACCGCATCCAAAGCTCCAGCCTCAACGATGCCCGCACGGGTCTCTGCTTCGCTTCTAGCCAACGAGGCCAGAGTTGCCTCGCTGGACGTTTTAAACTGGGGAATAGTTTAAGTCAGCAGGCTAGGCTAGAGAAGCAAAGAAAACCTGCTAGAAGCTCTGCGGCCTAGACTACGAGTTGAGCACAATCGCAGCAGAAACCTCATCCCAAACCATCAGATGAGTCGCTGCTGCTTGTCGCCGTAGCCTGCCTGTGTCTGCACAGAGTAGAGGCACAAGGTGGTCGATAGCACCAGCACGACACATCTGGTGGCAACTCGCCTGGATTCATGTGTGCTGCACATGCTCGTAACATCCTGTGGTTCTGCTGGAAGTGCAACTAAGGCAGCTGCTGGATGAGACGCTAGGTTGAATAAAGCGGCAGTTGCCCAAATGCGCTGCTTCTGGCTGACCCCTCCCAAACACTTTAACAATGCCGGTGCGGCATTGGCCACAGTCATCAGCTGTTTATTGCCTTCGTGGTTGGCTGACAGATTGCACAAAGCGGATGCAGCTTCTTCTGCCTCCAACTCATGGTTCGATAACAACATCGTAACCAAAGGCTGGATGGCACCCGACTGTGCTATCATTTGCTTGTTCTTCGGGCAGTTTACTGCCAAGCGGCCAAGAGCAGCTGCCGCCCAAGCACGTTCTGTGCTGTGCTGGGCACTCGTGGTTCCAAGCAATTGTACGAGGACCGGCACAGCCCCAGAATCAACTATGGTTTTTTGGTTTGATGAACCGTTTACAGCTAAGCAGCCCAATGCGAAAGCTGCACGCTCACGCTCATCCAACGTGCTTGATGATAACATGCGAACCAAATTTGTGGCCTGCACCTTGTCTACATCGCAGCCGGCGTTGGCTGCCTGGGTTGCTAACCAAATCGCCTGCTGGCACCTCGCAGGTCCCGAATCCTGGACCTCACAGTTTGCTGCCGCGCTCAAGTTCTCGGCGTCAGACGTCTGAGGGAGTTCACGCTTCTGGCAAAAAACGACAAGCACCCATCGTTCCCCGCTTGTCACAGGAAGTGACTGATGCCACACCATGTGATCCAACATGCACAAATCACCCGTCTCAATGCCATAATCTCTACTGCGGCCTTGCGCATCCCATATCCTGACACCACCACCAGTATAGCTGGGACTGTGTAACTGCAAGATGAAGGATGCATCGACGTGGGGCCCGTCCACATGCTGAGTCAAGTGCGTCTCTCCTTCACAAGGCCGGTAGCGAGTCACGAAGCTTTGCACGCGATGCAATTCAAAACCAGAAAACTCTGGATGCAAGGAGCGCCACCATGTGCACAGCTTCGCCGTCAATCCATCCAACAAAGGTTGCAGAACCTCTTTCATTGGCAAATGCACGACTGCGCCGGGCACCATTGCATCCGGGACGTCATCCAACTCCGCATAACATGAAATATTCCACTGGCCCTTCGCGTCCAAATAAGATGTGTGGCAGGGCAAATACGCAGCTTGGATAAGCGATGACACATCTTCGAGCTTCCCGCGCATGCCAGTGCGGACCACGCAGTAGACACCCTTCTCTGCACCAGCTACAGTCGCTGGCCGTCGGCGGCAGCACCGGTGGAAAGCCGAGATGTGCTGTCTCTTTTCGCCCATTGCTCAACCCGTAACTAGCCTGGACATGCTCCGGCTGTCTAGCCAAGCTGTTATGTCTTGTGATGTCTTGTGCAAACGGCCACGCCACTGTCGGTTGCGGAGATACCTTCAACTCCCACCCCGTTGACATGGCAGAATGGTGCGACAAACAAGGAGCAGCATGAACAAGCGCACATCCGCGGCCTGGAGGTTATTGCGGCATGGCAACTTCGTCTTCATGAGCCTACTGCCATCACAGTGTTGCAGGCTGCTGCCATGACTCGACGCCTTAACGTCCTGTCGATTTCAATCTTCCAATGAGTCCGGATACAACTTTTGATCACAACCTGTGACACCAGCTGCAATGTCGCATGCACCCACTTACTCCTGCTGCACATGCTTGGAAAACGTCTTTCCTCCAAGAATACTCAACGGCATTCCAATGTGTTGTCAACTGCCACCCCAAACGAATGTCGCACACTTTCTCTCTCTGTGTTTCTCCCTCTCCCTCTCTCTCTCTCTCTCTCTCTCTCTCTCTCTCTCTCTCTCGAGAATTGAATGGCTTTGCAGCACCTCCCACGACCACGCGAGCCTACTTCGGCACGTGGTCTGAAACACCAATATGCCCAGAACCAAGCCAACCCATGCAGCACTAGGTTTTTCCCTTTTGAATCTGCTCGGCCGGTGCCACGCACTCAAAACGCGGGCTATGTGCGGTGCGTCCTCTTTCATGTGCTCCAGGTTTGGACGGATGCTATAAATATCTATACATGTTCTTTCTCTTTCCTGCTTGGAAGCGGAAAAACAGCACCTGACGTGCACGTGACAACATCAGGTGATTTCAAGCTGCGACCTTCACCAGCTATGCGTGGAAATTGTATTCATGCCCATGCGTCGTAACCCCTTAATGTGGGGTGGATTGGTTCTTCGGCTTACTGGCTTACTACAGCCCTTTCCCGCGTGCTTCTGCACAATAGACTGCGATATTAAAGCTCAATGAGTTGTCTAAGTTTTGTGTTTTGCTGCAACTCCGCCCACTGAGCCCAATCATCAGCCCAGTTGAAAAGCAAGCGACCCTCGCCATTGGCAATATTGATTACAAGCTTCGCTCCGATGTGCATGCACGTGAAGGCGTCATTGATGTCTACTATCTAAGCTCTGGTTTCTTTTCTCACGCACCTTTTTCCTGCTGCCGCTGGCGTCCGTGGCTTTCCCATTGGCTTCTTAAGGCTTACGGTTTGCTACGGTCGGAACGGCAGACGACTTTCCCCGGTGCCGGAGGTCCAGCACCGTGGGCCCAGCTCCCTGTCCAGCATGAGCACGGGCTGTGCCCGCAGCGGCCTGCCATCATCTGGAGCAGCCTCCAAGGAGCCACTGCGTAGCGAAGCAACTGCTGTCACGATCCGTAGCCATTTTGGCTCAAGTCGTGCACGAAATCCTTCCCGGCTGTATGCCTGAATCGCCTCCATGCCATGTCGGCTGCGGTGATAGGCCAGCTGTGCGCCGGAGTTTCTTCGGCCGCCTCGTCGGCTGTCTGGTGGGCCGCATCCCTGCCGCCGACGTGCAGGGAAAGCCTGGCCCACGCAGCCCTCACGTGCAGTGGCGCCACTCCCCGGTTCCTCGCCCCAGGCACGAAGTGTTACAGTACTTACTGTCGGGAGGCGAGGCCGCGGTGCGCGAGCAGTCATGGTGTGAATATCTGTATGCTATGCTCTTCACGGTTGTGTTTTGCGACATGTGTGTACAGCTCAGCAAACCTCCGCAACTCTTTGGTCCAATGCAGGGGCCCCTTGTAGTCACTTGTTACGCAGACAGATTATGGCGTGGAAAAGCGCAAGGGTTTGCAGCCGATAGGCGTGTGCTGACCTGGAGACTCCACCTGTAATCACAGGTGGTAGCGGAGCTCACGGTTAATGCCGGCGAGCACAGCTTCACCAAGTGGTCCTGCGGTCCAGGGGAGCCAGAGTGGACAGGGTGCTGCTTGGCGAGATCGAGAGCCACCTCCTTCTTTTGATGGCCGTCAACCTGATAGGAGTCTTCCGAAGTGGATCAAAGAGCTTGACCTTTGGAAGTTTGAGACAGAGATCCCCCGGGAGAAGTGGGGAGTAAAGGTGTGGAGGCAGCTGGAAGGCTCAGCGCGAGCGGTGGCTGACTCTCTTACCTTTGAAGAACTGGCTTGCGAAAAGGGAATAGACAACTTGCTGAAAGTGCTCAAAGAGCACTACGAGCCACACCTGGAAGTTTCCCTGCCCAAGGCTTTTGAAGATGCTATTTATGGAGATGTTCGCTCCTCGAAGGAGTCCTTCGGCGACTATGTGATTCGCATGGAGAAGGCGATCAAGGAGTTGGAGAGGCAGGGAGTTCCCTTACATGAGATTGTGGTTGGTTACGTGATGTTTCGGCATGCCAATCTTTCGGATGTTCAAGAGAGCCAGATGTTGACTTGGGGTGCCGGAAAATATGACCGGAAGACTGTGGTAGCCAACCTTCGCAAGCTGGACAAGGGAGTGTTTGACGTAAAAAGGAGAGCTGCACACTACTTGATGGAAGATGATGGCGCTCCTGTGGATGAGATGGAAGGCCCCACGGAGGTTTTCCACCAGGAGGACGATGCAGCGGAGTCGGACCTCGATGAGGATTACGTCTACATTGGAGAAGAAGATCTTCAAGATGTGTACGAGGAGGAACACGTCATGGAGGCCCTCGCGACGTATCAAGATATTAGAAGGTCCTTGAGGGACCAAAAGAACAACCGC